TAATAGTCACTAATTGCTTTGTGCATCAGATATAACATGTTAATTGTTGAGCTTTAGATGTGCTGATTTTGTTACTTATTGTGTTTGCAGTCTGCTTACAAAAGGTATCCATGTGCTACTGTGCTGTATATCTCACTGGATATATGCCCTTTGCTGTGATCTTCCTCTCTTTCACTAGCCCCTCCTCTTGTATCTCAGAGAACTGTACACTGCACAGGAAACAGCATCGGCCTCCTCCCCCTTCTCCTCCCACATCCCTCCCTGTTTCCACTACAGCTGGAGACACACGCAGTTCCTCACCTTCCAATGAGCCCAAGGAGAAACGTGTGCACTTCGACCTTGAGACCCTCCACAGCTACCGTCTGCGTACACACACCGCCTCAGTGCGTGGCAGGCCCGGGATGGTCGGCCGTCCTGGGCTCGGCCTAGGAGGGTTGGGGCTGGGCAACCTGGGGAGTTTCACCCCCTCACCACAGATTAACCCCCATGCCAACGGGGGCCCAGGCTCTGCACTGGCCTCCGCAGGCTTGGTGCTCTCTCCCCTGGGTGGCAGGGCCACTCAGACCAGCCTGTGGGAGGGGGAGCTCCATGAGCTGCAGGGTAAGATCGAGACATTTCGCAACCAGCTGAGAGAAGCTCTAGCCAGGAGAGCAGAGATCCAGAGCAGCCTGGAGCGAGAGAGGAGTGGATTTGTTCGCAGGGATACCAGCCTGGAAAGGGAAAGGGACAGACAGAGGATACAAACTATTAATACAGACAGAAGTAGTTCCATTCAGTCCAAACTTCCTGAGCGAGACAGGACAAGCCAACTGCAAACCCTGAATAATCAGCAGACAGGGAGGCCTAGCCAATCAGGCACTCCTGAGACTCTGGAACGTGGAAGAAGTGGCCAATTAAACACAGTTAACAGTTTGGACAGAGGAAGAGTAAACCAATTACACTCTATTAATACTTTGACAGGAGAAAGAACTGTCCAATCACGCACTTCCACCAGCTTGGAACGAAGTCAAATCAACCAACCAGGTGCTGGGAGCGTAACTGTCCAATCACGAAACACTTCTAGCCTGGACCGACAGAAGGCTAACCTATCACGTGCTCTGAATGCTTTGGAGAGGACAAAGGACAACCTATCAAGTGTAAGCAGTGAGACCTGACTGGCTTTCTGAAGCCCCAGATGTGTAAGACCACAGCCAGAATAGTTCAGTCGGTACTTTAACAGCTGTGGGGGAAAGGCTTTGTTAGAATGCATTAAGTTTGGGGGACGCTTGCTGAAAACTTAATATGTTCACTCACACCATTACTTACTGCAACCATATCATTTTGTCACTCAGTTATTTCCACGCTCACTTTAATTTACAGCTTTTAACTGCAACTTAAGAGCTGATCCGCATTACCCATGAAATCATAAATAAGCTTGTTAAATGAAAAGCAAAAATTATTTCAGTAATCTCTCAGTATATTTCCACAAGAACCAGATCAAACTAATTGAAATGGCAATGCTAAAATAACTGTGCTTATTGTGGAGAAAAGTCTTTCACTGGAGGAACTGTCGGCAACAGCTGACTACTCAAACAGAAGCCCGTCAGCTGAGTTAAATACTGGGCTGTTACACTGGAGAAGACTATAGCATCATCACCAAAGAGCACACACTCAAAACAGCAAACAAAATAATTTGAAAATGCACATGCAACCCACTGTTATCTGAGTGTCAGCTGCAGGAGGTAAGGATGGAAATTTTTAAAAAATAATTAAGTTATTCAAGTTTCCCAAAAATGTGAAGAATAAAGGCAGAAAATCTACGACAGATACTGTGTATACAGTCCTAAAACAGACAATCTACTTAACAATGCCATGGAAACTTTTAGAAAGCCTATTGAGTTTTGATATCCAATTGTGTTGTCTCATTATTACATTCCAAAAATTACACATTTTTCCATATTTTATAGCCATAGCCCTCCTTTCTCTCTTCCTGAAATGTGTCAAAATTAAAAAGCTATCTTGCAAACTCAGCCATTCCTAAATAGGTGCTTTGAGATGGTAATTTCCTTCTGTGCTTTGATGGGTTTCGCCTGACAAAAGGATGCAGAGACAGGACTTGACAAGAGCTTTTTTTAACATTCTTGTTAATGGAAAACATCTGTAGCCCATGTTATGCTTGCCATATTTAGTTAACTTAAGATTTTAAGTGATTCAAACTTTTTCCCACATCGTTAACTTGTGTCAGTGACATTATTTACTAGATATTACAGTAGATCAAGAAATACATTGCCACATATTTTTTAATGACTGCTCCACCACCCTTCTGGTGGAGTATCTAATGAAAATGCTGTTGGGAAATGTAAGAGCCAGGGTTTTTGGAACTTGCATCTGTCACTTCGGTTTTGACCACATTGTTTTTACAGTCTGTTATTTTCAAGTCCCATTTTTATGAAGTTCAATGCAAAATCACTGTAATACTCCTTAAATAAAAATCCTGGTACTTTTCTTTATAGGGTGTTTTTAGGAGCAGACACAGCTGACCCATCCCATTACTTGTAATGTCAATATTTAATGTGTCCCTCGCTAGCAGGAGTGGCATGGGTGATGGCTGTGTATTTTGGTCGTCACTAAAAAAAAAAAAAAGCCTTTTCTCCATTTGCTCTCGCTGTTGTCTGCATAGAACCATTTCAAAGAGGTTGGTGCTTTTACATATACTTCAGACAAATGGCCCAGCCTTGTATTTATATGGACATGTGCAAAACTACAGAACAAAATTACAATCTAAAAATCATTTCATGAACATTTAATTGCCTAATCGACCCAAACAGCTCAACACATTTATCCACCATATTCATTTTTGAAGTAACTCAACATTCTGGCAACAACTTTGCACTCAGTGACTGTGTTACACATGAGTTCACACAATAAGGAAGATTAAAATATTAATTGTTAAAATAGATGCACACTTTCTTTGAGTGTTTCCACTCAGGGCTTTTTTTTTTTGTTTGTTTGGTTGGTTTGGTTTCTACTATAACTTAGTAAGTCTCACACCTCATGTCGAGAATTTAAAGGATGAAGACTGTATTGAGAAGCTGGCTGTACTAGGACTGCCATTCAGGCACCCACCAGAGGGCGCTGCA